CCCCCCCCCCCCCCCCAAACATCCCCAAGTGGTTTTTTTTTGCCCTGCCCGGGAAAGTTTTTTCCCTGCCCGGAAAAGCGTATTCCAAAGTCGACCCCCAAGCGGATAGCGTGCATACGCTAGCGTATATACGATAAGCGTATATACGCTATAAGCGTATATTGCAACTTAGCATCCACTCCCCCCCCTCCCCCCTTCCAACCTCCCCCCTTCCAACCCAACCTCCCCCGCTCCCCCTTCCTTCCCACCCCTCCCCCCCCCCTCCCCCCCCCAGCATGTCAACGGAGATGGTGGCGTGCGTTGCAACGGAGGCTTTATCCTCTTCCCCCTCCCCCCTTTCCCCTTTTCCTCTCCCCCTTTCGCCCTCCTTCCCCCCCTCCCCCCCCCCACCAGCATGTCAACGGAGATGGTGGCGTGCATAGCAGCGGAGGCCCTCTCAATATTGGAGAAGGTGCACGAGCGAGGGTGAGTCAGTGTGACAGTATTGAGGGCGAGTGTGACAATTGCGAGGGTGAGTGAGTGTGACAGTAGCGAGGGTGACTGTGACAATTTCGAGGGTGAGTGAGTGTGACAATAGCGAGGGTGAATGCAGTCACTCGTTCTCCCAGGCCCTCGTCCCCTCTCTGGGCCCATCACTCCTCCCTCTCCCGTCTCTGCGCGTCCTTGCGCCTTTCACACGTCTCAACGCCCTCTCTCCGTTCTCTGCCTCGCCTCTCTTCCTTGAGAACGGAGAGAGGGCGTCTTCTGCCTCTCTTCTTTGAGACGCCTGAAAGCCCTGCACTGTGCACCTTCGCCCTCCTCCTCCCATTATTTTGTCAAACTGCCGTTTTTCTTCCACCAGCTACGTGCATGGAGACGTGAAGCCGGAGAACTTTCTTCTCGGGCAGCCCGGGACTTCCGAGGAAAAGAAGCTGTACCTGGTTGACCTGGGTTTAGGTGAGACAGTGAATTAACTGACCATTATGACATTGTTTTTACTCAAACAAAGAAAGAAAAGGAGTGGGGTTGCAGGATGTGGGGGCACCCCAATGGAGTTCGATTCTGTAAAGAATTCTAAAATAAAACTTTCCGCACCCTGCCTTCTCTCTCTTCTCCAATTGTTCTCCTTCCCCACCCCTTCTTCTCTCCTGCTCCCACCGTCCGTGCATGGCGCAGCAACGAGGTGGAGGGACAGCAACACGGGGCAGCACGTGGAGTATGACCAACGACCAGACATCTTCAGGTGAAAGGACCTATTCAGGTGATTTGCCAGGCCGTTTAAGGCGGATTGCCAGTGCATTGTCAGACGTTCTCAGGTGAATCGCCAGAGATGGTCAGGTGGGCCAGGCCAGGTAGCCGGACATTGTTCTTTGGTGTATAGTCAAAGTCCGCAACAGCCACCTGCGCTACGTGGGTTGCACACGCATATGGGGCGTAGAGGCGCTGAAACCCCATGCATGCATGCACCACAATGAACACAGTTCCTTGCTCCCCCTTCCTCCACAGGGGCACGGTGCACTATGCGGGGGTGCAGGGCGCACGGGCAGTCGCAGGGACGAGCTGGAATCACTGGCATACACACTCGCCTTCCTGCTGTCCCCTCACCCGCACCCTGTGCTTGTGCTTCTTCTTCCTCTTTCACAGGGGCACGGTGCGCTATGCAGGCGTCCACGCACACCTGGGGCGCACGGGCAGTCGCAGGGATGACTTAGAGTCACTGGCATACACACTCGTCTTCCTGCTGCGAGGAAGACTGCCCTGGCAGGGCTACCAGGTGAGTTTTCAGGTGGCAGGGGTTTCAGGTGAATTTCTGATGGCATAGCTGTCAGGTGAATTCTCAGGTGGCATGGCTGTCAGGTGAATTCTCGGGTGGCATGTGTCAGGTGAATTCTCGGGTGGCATGTGTCAGGTGAATTCTCAGGTGGCAGAGGTAGAAGGTGACCACCTCACCGGAATTGCCCCTCTGCTCCTGTTCCGTTTGCTCTCTCCCTCTCTCACCCTCTCCGTCTCTCGCCCTTCTCCTCACCCATCTCCCATCAGGGCGACAACAAGGGTTTCTTAGTGTGCAAGAAGAAGATGAGCACGTCGCCCGAGATGCTCTGCTGCTTCTGTCCGCCGCCCTTCAAGCTCTTCCTCGAGTACGTCGTCAGCCTCAAGTTCGATGAGCGCCCCGACTACGCCAAGTGCGCCGCCATGTTCGACCCCATCCTCTCCCCCAACCCAGCACTACTGCCTCTCAACACAGAGGGAGCACGCTCTCTCAAGGTGGGTGACGGCGGTCCTGCACTGGGGTGTAGTGCGGTGTGGTGCGGTGTGTGGTTTTTTAACCCGTCAACACGGAGAAATGCAGAGCTGTGTTATCCGTATCTGTATATGTTTGTGTGTTATCCCCATGCGCGCATCCCCATGCGCACATTCCTATGCGCACATTCCCATGCGCACATCCCCATGCGCACATCCCCATGCGCACATCCCCATGCGCACATCCCCATGCGCACATCCCCATGCGCACATCCCCATGCGCACATTCCCATGCGCACATTCCCATGCGCGCATCCCCGTGTGTATGCATCGCCATATTTGCCCCCATACCATACGCACATCCCCATGCATTCATCACCATATTGACCCCCATGCGCACATCCGTGTGCGGTGGTGGCAGGTGCAGGTGGGGCAGAAGAGGGGGCGGGGCGAGGGGGGCGAGGAGGAGGCGGAGGAGGATCAGCTGAGGAAGAAGATCCGCCTCGGCATGCCGGCCACCCAGTGGATCTCTGTTTACAGCGCCAGACGGCCTATGAAGCAGAGGTAGGGGGGGTGAGAGAGAAGGAGGGTGTACGCACGTGGCACACAGGAGGAGGATCAGCTGAGGAAGAAGATCCGCCTCGGCATGCCGGCCACCCAGTGGATCTCTGTTTACAGCGCCAGACGGCCTATGAAGCAGAGGTAGGGGGGGTGAGAGAGAGGGAGGATGTACGCACGTGGCACACAGGAGGAGGATCAGCTGAGGAAGAAGATTCGCCTCGGCAGGCCGGCCACCCAGTGGATTTCGGTGTACAGTGCGAGACGGCCCATGAAGCAAAGGTGTGGTTCCAGTGGCGTTGGAGAGAGAGAAGTGGGTGATTGGGTTCCTGGGTAAGGTACCGGGGCACAAGGTAGTGTTAAGGAGAGGTGCGGTGTGGCACAGGTAGTGTCAAAGAGAGGTGCGGTGTGGCACAGGTAGTGTCAAAGAGAGGTGCGGTGTGGCACAGGTAGTGACACGTGCTGCACATTTGCAGCAATCGAGGCCTCTTCATGCCACAACCTCTCACTCCCCCTCTCTCATACCATCTGTATTGCTCGCCTGGGCGACGTTGTCAGGTACCATTACAATGTGGCGGACTTGCGTCTAGCGCAGCACGTGGAGAGGGGCAAGGAGGATGGGTTGCACATGAGCAGTAATTTGATGCTCACCTCACGCGCAACGTCACACTTCCCCGTGCGCTGTATGTCCTGTGTGCCTGTAACGCAGGTACCACTACAATGTAGCGGACTCGCGCCTGGCACAGCACGTGGAGAAGGGCAACGAGGACGGGCTGCACATCAGCAGCGTGGCGTCGTGTCAGAACCTCTGGGCGCTCATCATGGACGCGGGCACCAACTTCACAGCGCAGGTCTACGACCTCTCGCACGTGTTCCTGCCCAAGGTAAGTGCTTTGTCTCTGGCCAAGGTGAGTGCGTTTCCCAAGGCGAGGTGGGTGGGTCTTCCTGCCCAATCCTGCTGCCCAGGTTTGGGTGCGACTTGCTGCACCATTTTGGGAGGAAAACCATTTTTCATTGCAAGCCATTCCCTTGTCCCGCCTAGTACTCTTAATAAAGCCGCTCCGCTTCCCACCCCTTTCCTTACTTCCCCCTCCGTCATCCCTCAGGAGTAAATCATGGAGCAGTGGGAGAGGAACTTGCATCACAGCAGTGGCAGCGCCGTTTGTGGCGCTTCAAAAGGCGTCACTTTGAAATGTCTTCTCACCTCCCTCCCCCCGCCCCTCATTCAATCAGGAGTGGATCATGGAGCAGTGGGAGAGGAACTTCTACATCACAGCAGTGGCGGGCGCCAGCAACGGCAACTCCCTCGTTGTCATGTCCAAAGGTGAGCCCACGACGACGGCGGAAGGTGAAGTGAACGACAATGGCAAAAGACAAATTTTCAGGCGCCTCAGAACGCGACGGCGGAAGGTGAACGGGAATGGCAAAAGCTGGGCTCGCGGAGGTGGAAAGGTGAAAGGGCATATTCATTGATCGCCCTACCTTCTTTTTAGCATGTTTTTCCCCTCCCCCGCACTTGCTCTCTCAATCTCTTTTTCATGTTCAATTCTTGCAGGTGCTTTTCCACTTGCTCCATCTTTCAGTGCTCTACAGTGCCCCCTCTCTCTCCCTTGCCGCCTTCCTCCTTCCCACCCCCTCCCAGGCATGCCATACACGCAGCAGTGGTACAAGGTCAGCGACAGCTTTCCGTTCAAGTGGATCAACAACAAGTGGCGCGAGGGCTTCTACCTTCAAGTGACACCGCGTCTCTTCCACTGCCGCCCCCCCACTACACCCCCCCCCAGGCACACCGTATACACAGCAGTCATACAAGGTCAGCGACAGCTTCCCATTCAAGTGGATCAACAAGAAGTGGCGAGAGGGCTTCTACGTGACGTCCATGGCCACTGCTGGCAGCCGCTGGGGGGTGGTTATGTCCCGCAATGCCGGCTTCACTGACCAGGTGCGGTGCAGTCAGGTCCAGTGTGAGGCGTTCCGACGCGTGTTGCAGCAAGTCCAAGCACATCCCTTAAAACGGAAATTTAGCATCTGAAGCTTCCATGTGGTCACGATGGATGTGCTCGTGCCTGCTGCCTAGAGGTCTAAGCCATTCATCAGCAAGGGCATTCACCACAGCATGGCCACGGCTTGTCTTCCCGTGGTGTCACATGGGCTGTTGCATCACCGCCCTCCCCCTCTGCCTGTATTTCCCCCCTCCCTCATCTGTACTGTACTCGTTATAAGCAGGTGGTGGAGCTGGACTTTCTGTATCCCAGCGAGGGCATTCACAGGCGGTGGGACATGGGGTATCGCATCACAGCCACCGCTGCCACGTGGGACCAGGCTGCCTTCCTTCTCAGTGTGCCGCGCAGACGACCCGCGGATGAGACCCAGGAGACTCTGAGAACATCGGCTTTCCCCAGTACCCATGTAAAGGTGAGAGAGTGACCAATGCTTGCACTCTCCGGGTGGGGTGAGCAATGCACGCACCCGTGTGTGCTGGGGCATGCATGTCAAGGGGGGCTTGTGTGGCGTTGCAACCATGGCAAGTGCGCATGAATGTATGCCAGTCAATCGATGTGCCCAATGTATGTTTTGAAATGTCAAGCTAAGGTATGCAAAGACACATGCCGGTGATCTTTTTATTTGTTTGTCATGAAGCACTCTCATATCTTTCTGAAAGATTCCTTGCAAAAGTTTTTTTCTTCTTCTTCTTTTTTCTTTTTTTTCTGTTCACACACTTTTCTGGCTGGCATGGTATGGCCTGGTGTTGTGCACTGTATGGTATGGGGTGGCATGTGTTATCTTATGTGCAGGAGAAATGGGCCAAGAATTTGTACATTGCATCTGTCAGCTATGGCCGTACCGTCTCCTAAGCTTGCATTCACTCACTCACTCACCCACTCACTCACTCACTCACTCACTCGCATTCAGTCATCCATGGCTCCCTCACTCGCTGACTCGCACTCACCTCACTCGCTCTACCATTTCCAGAAGGATCCGAAATTTTAAGGCCCATGAATCACGCTGACTCGCACTCACCTCACTCGCCCTACTACCGTATTTCTGGAAGGATCGGAATTTCAAGGCGCATGAATCACAATACCTAGTACCTAGTATGTCTTCCTGAGGCATAGTTGGGCAATGATGGCCTGTTGAAGCCATGTGAATCCACTATCCACGATCAGTCAGCCTGGGCAATGGTGGGCAGGTTGAAGTGTGCAGTATGTGCCCAATCGCGATAATCTAGTTGCTTTCCCCTTCTCTCACTAAAAGTTGCTGGGCATAAGATCTGATTTGCTAGTGTGTATCTGTGGGTATACTGTACATGTACAAAACGGGAGTGTCGTTACTCATTAGTATTCCTGTTCTTTCATGTGTCAGAAAGAGCTCAGTGCTTTTTTCACAGTATGTTGAGAGAAGAAAAAGGTTTAAGATTCAGCAGACATCTTAGTTACGGAAAAGCCCAGTGAATGAATAAACATCCAAATTTACCAGTTCATAGAAGTACTTGGGTTGGGAAGCAGCGTATGTTTGAAGGATTGCTGGTGGTGCTGTATGGAGTGACTGAAACCATGTTTATGTGGGAAGTATCAATTTGGGATGGGCTATATTGTCAACAAATCAGCTTTCATATGTTTTCGTGCTGGTTGGCAATTTAGATGTGGATGTGGTGAAGTGAAGAATCTAGGTTAGCTAAAAAAAATACATTTTTGAACTGCAGGTCGTACCATTTGTTAGAAACGGGTAGGCATGTATGCGAGGAATGCTGTCGGGGTGACAAATTCCGATGAACGCGGTAAGCCGTCGGATTCCCTTGTCTCAGCTACCACACTATAATTCTTCAATTATATGCGCGCTTGGGGAGGTGGATTTCCTCCGTAAATCGCTCCTGAATCGGACAGACGAATGACACCACACGGTATTCGCCATCTATGAGCGGTCGATCTGTCGCTCCCGCCTACCGTACAGCATTTGCAAACCGTCGATGTCGTGTGGATGCTGTCTAGGATGATTTCAGCCTCTCCAATCACCGCGTTCCCTTCGAATTGTTCGCGCTTCGAGCTTCGAAGAGAGGGAACCAACCAAGTCCAAGGCACTTGTATCGTCTCGAAGCCAACGAAATCCAACCAAGTTCGAAGGGGAGGGAATCCACCCACCCACCTTCGTCGAGACTCACTTTGGCAAGGAGAGCAGTTTGCACCTACCTGATTTACCTAAAACAGCCAGTTATCCAATTCGCTGGTTTTCGCTGCTTGAGTGAATCAGGCGTTTGGCAATCCGACTTGCTCAGACACAACGAATAGCGTTCTCCACGGAGATTCACGAGCCCGTAACCTTTTAGATCAGCAATGCTTCACGTCTTGTTGTTCTAGAGTATGCTCCCTAGGGTGCTCGACGAGGATGAATGCTGGACATTCAAACGCCCAGTGATTCTCAGCGACGGCTTCAATGACGAGCCAACTCCCTCGCATGGGACATGTCAGGCAAATAGAGCATCACGACATTCAGAGCTGTACAGATCCTGTGCCATCAGGCGGAAGTCACTCCATCAGTCAATGAAGTCACACCCGCGCGTCACGGGGAAGCTTCACGTCGAGATGGACTGCCCGGCGGGCCGCGCGGGCCTGCCGATCGTCCTGGCGCTGCTTGCCGCGCTTTTAGGACGAGCAGATGCAAGAATGACAGGTGCGGGCACGTCGCGTGACGCTAGGAGCAAGGCAGGCTGGTACACAAACTCGGTGGTTTATTGGCAGAAATAGATTGCACGGAATGGACTGATAGACGGGTGAGAGTCCACAAAGAGAGAATATTTTGGTGGGATTAGAGTGCACCGGGCCCATAGCGGAGCGCTGCCTCCTAAAATGTGTCGCTTTCAGTTCAGGAACGAACGACCCTCAGGGTCGGGTAGGCTTCAGGAGGCTTCTGTAGAGTTTCACAGCTTCGGCGTTTTGAGACGTCGTGAAACTCGCATCGAATTCATTTGCTGAGACTCATTCGTTGCCGCTGTTCGGTGCCTCTGTTCATCGTCGTTTCTCTCTGCAGACTATCCAATACCCTTCAGGGCAGACCGACGGCTACTAGTCACTGGTAACTCTCTGCCTATACGCTCGCTGCTCCATCATATGTCCTTCCCGTCCCTGCTTGTGATGCTTGTTTCTTCCGTCGGTGCTCTGAAACCTTTGTGTCCTTCCCGTCACATCTCTGAGGCCCTTTACGTCATTTCGGACGCTCATAGGTCTCGTGGCACACCTCGTCATGTATCTGTCGAACGCCGCGTGCTCCCATCCATCCGTCCCTCCCTACGCTTACCAGACGCGGATGCCGCGTCGCAGGGGAAGCTGCTATTCATTGTGCTCTGCGGAGCCACGGTCGTGCTTTTCATCGTCTTCGTCGCCCTCCTCGCCCTCCTCATCTCACTCCACTATCGAGGTGTGTTGCCTCACCCTGCCATCGGCGCGCTCTAGGTGCGTTGCTCGCCATGATCTCCGCGCCTGCCTCCCCGCCGGGCCAATCTTCGAGTCAACGAAGTCAACGCAGTCAACACAGTCAACACAAACTAGTCACTCAACGCTCTTGAGACGCGTTGCTCCTCCTCCCGTTGACGCCTGCTTCCCCATCTGCGCCCTCCATGGCTGCAATAACTTCACGCCTCTTGTCGCAAGGCCGCCAAGTGCTGAGTGCAGCCTTATTACACTCCTGTTGGTGTTGAGGCGACACTTTTGCTTGTAGCCCCTCCGGCCAAACCAAAGGCCAGTCCCAGTGTCCTTTCCACAGTTGGCTCCAACTTGTTCGTGCTGTCCTTCCGTCTCTTCTGCATCCCTCACCTCATCCCCTCCCCTGTGAATTGACGGTCGTTTGTAACTCTATCGTAGAATCTCCGTGCTGCTCTCTTTCTCCACCCCACACCTGCTCTCTACCTCCCACCGCGTCCCCCCGCGCTATTTCAGCTGCCCGTTCGTCTGCCCCCGCGGAAACGGCGAAGAAGCTGCCCCTGAGGGCAATCTGGAGGGCGACGTCGAGTCTGGGGGTGGCGCAGCAGGTGGGGGAGGGGGACTTTGGGCGCGCGTACCTGGGGGAGCATCGGGGGGAGGCCTGGCTCGTCGTTGTCTCCACGTCAGACAACATTGACATCATCAAAGCGTTCCGGAGGGAGGTGAGACCTGGGAAAACGGGGGAGGGTATGGGATTGGGGAGGTTTCGGGTATAGGGGACAAGAGGGGACAGAGCAGAACAAGAAGGGACACGAAGTGGATTACGGAGGGAAAATATGACAGGGAGCAAAGAAACGATTTGAGGGGAGGATGGAAACTGAACGTAAGTGTCAACCCCCGGGTCTAGGGTTTTGGGTATAAGCTATCAGATCACCCTTCACTACATGCCCCCCCCCCCCATTGCATTCCCCACTCCACGTCAGGTCGATACCCTGGGCCCCGTGTCACACCCGTCATTGGTGCGCCTGGTGGGGTGGGCGGAGGAGGTAGGGCGCAACATGCTCGTGTACAACCACCCTGCTCCGCTGCTACACGCCCCCGCCCTTTCCCCATCCCCCTCCCCGTCCTCCTTCCGCCGGGGCGGTGGTTCCTCTGCTGGCGGCTCTAAGAGAACTGCTGCCGCCGCTGGTGCAGGTGCTGCTGCTGCAGCTGCGGCTGGTGGTGGTGCTGCTGCTGCCGGTGGTGCTTCCTTTGTGAAGGCCAGCAGCTTTGCTGCCAGCGGTGGTGCTAACGCCAATCGTGGTTTTGACGCTCTTGCCACTTCTGGCGCTGCTGGCGCAGCTGCAGCTGCGGCTGGTGCTGCTGCTGCTGCTGCTGGTGCTGTGGGTTCTGATGTTGCGGGTGGGGGCGGTGGTACACTGCTGGAGTATCTGTTGCAGCAGCACCAGTGGCAGCTGCAGCAACAGCAGACGGGTGGCGCAATGGGAGGTGAGTCGCTGATGGTTTGGCAGTGAGAGCAAGGATTGTGAGGCTGATGTATGACAAACCTGCACTGTTGCGACGCATTGCCTCTCTCTCCCTCTCCCACCCCCACTGAGCCTGGATCCCCTGAATCCCCTGAATCTCCTGAATCTCCTGAATTCCCTGAATCTCCTGAATCTCCTGAATCCCCTGAATCCCCTGAATCCCCTGGATCCCCTGAATCCCCTGGATCCCCTGAATCCCCTGGATCCCCTGAATTCCCTGAATCTCCTGAATCTCCTGAATCCCCTGAATCTCCTGAATCCCCTGGATCCCCTGGATCCCCTGAATCCCCTGGATCCCCTGAATTCCCTGAATCCCCTGAATCCCTCCACATGCTCTTGTCCCCCGCGCCCCTCAGATCCCCCGGCCTGCCTGTCCTTCGAGCGGCGGGTGGACATAGCACACAGCCTGGCGGCAGCACTGCACCACCTGCACTGCTGCGCGGACCCTCCTTTGGTGCACTGGTCTCCCACCCACCATTGTGCCTGTATCCCACATGCTATCGCCCTCACCCCCCAGACGCCGCTCTATCTCTCTCCTTTGAGCGGCGGGTGGACATAGCGCACAGCCTGGCGGCAGGGCTGCACCACCTGCACTGCTGCACGGACCCCCCCTTGGTGCACTGGTCTCCCACCCACCATTGTGCCTGTATCCCACATGCTATCCCCCTCACCCCCCAGACGCCGCTCTATCTCTCTCCTTTGAGCGGCGGGTGGACATAGCGCACAGCCTGGCGGCAGGGCTGCACCACCTGCACTGCTGCACGGACCCCCCCTTGGTGCACTGGTCTCCCACCCACCATTGTGCCTGTATCCCACATGCTATCCCCCTCACCCCCCAGACGCCGCTCTATCTCTCTCCTTTGAGCGGCGGGTGGACATAGCGCACAGCCTGGCGGCGGGGCTGCACCACCTGCACTGCTGCGTGGACCCGCCCATTGTGCACCGCCAAGTTAACTCCGGCAACGTGCTGCTGCAGCCGCGCTGGCCCTATGTGAGTGCTGCTGCGGCGTTTTGGTTGACTCAAATGCCTCTTCGCTGGGCGTACGTATTTGAGTGCTGCTGCTGGTGCTGCTGCTGCCACTCTCAACCTACGCGAGTACTGCTCATTCTTCTTCCTCCTCCTCATCCGCCTCTACCGGCCCTCCTCTTTCTGTTTTTACACTCACTGCATCCCAATAATCCTCTCAACCTTACAAAAATCCTCTCAACCTTACAACAATCCTCCCAGGCCCACCCCCACCCCCCTCCCCATTCCCTCCCCCAGGCGCGTCTTGCCAACATGGGGAAGGTGAAGAGGCTACCCTTTTGACATATGTGTCATACCCACTCCCCCTCATCCCTCTCCACCCCCCTGTATTTCCCTCTTTCTCCCTCCCAGGCGCGGCTTGCCAACGTGGGGGAGGTGAAGGGGCTGCCCTATGCGCCGACCATTAACGGGCGGCGCAACCGGGCGGCGTACATTGACCCGGAGTACTTTATCGCGCTCAGGGCGTCTGCTGCCAGCGATGTGTACAGGTCAGTCTTGTGGCGCTACAGGTCAGGGTAGTGGCGTTACAGGTCAGGGTAGTGGCGTTACAGGTCAGTGTAGTGGCGTTACAGGTCAGTGTAGTGGCGTTACAGGTCAGTGTAGTGGCGTTACAGGTCAGTGTAGTGGCGTTACAGGTCAGTGTAGTGGCGTTACAGGTCAGTGTAGAGGCGTTACAGGTCAGTGTTGTGGCGTTACAGGTCAGTGAATAAGGCATGTCAGTGGGGAGCCACAGCACTGTAACACCCAACCTCTCAATGTTCCTTCGTGCTTGCATCACACCTCCCTCATTCCTCCTCCATCACACCCCTTCTCTCACACTCCTCCCCTTTCCCTCCCACCCTTCCCCCCTCTCCCCTCACCCCCCAGTTTCGGCATAATCCTGCTGGAGCTTCTAACCGGCCAGCCAGCATAATCCCCTCGCCTCATATCCTTCCCTCTCCTCCCCTCCCTCCCCTCTCCCCCCCTCCCTCCCCTCTCCTCCTCTCCCTCCCCTCGTCACCCCCTCTCCAGTTTTGGCATAATCCTGTTGGAGCTTCTAACCGGCCAGCCAGCGGAGCAGATCGACCCGGCCACAGGCCGCCGCGCCTACCTCAACATCCCCGCGCTCACCGCCCTCATCCGCGCGCACCACCTTCCACCGCTCCTCGACCCCGCGCTGCCCTTCCCCCCCACGCCCGCGCCCTCCGCGCTGCAAGCGCTCGCGTCCCTCGCGGCGGACTGCACAGTGCGGTACGCCAAGCAGCGCCCAGACGCGTCCGCAGTGCTTCTACAAATGGAGGGGATTCGCGAGGCCGTGCAGAACGGCCTCGCCGTGCAGGGCCGCGCGGGCGACCACCTGTCGCTCTCCATACCTGGCTCGGTCGCCGAGGCGGAGGCTCGGGGGAGGTTCGGCAGCAGGGGCGGGGAGCTGGTGGGCGGGTCGGGCAGGGAATGGGGGTCGGCTGGGGAGTTGTATGGGGCGCAAGGGTCGGTTGGGTGGAGTGCAGGCGAGCGGTCACTCGGGGGAGGCGGGTCGGAGAGAGAACGGGGAGGTGAGTTGGCGAGAGAGCGGGGGGGCAGTGGGCGGTCGCACGGGGGCTCTGACAGGGAGAGAGGAAGCGGCACGAGCGGAGGAGGAAGCTTCTTAGACGGCTCATCTGCGTACTTGTATGGCGAACAACCGCGCGGAATCGTCTCGTCTTCGTCCTACCCGCAGGTGCTCTCCTCTCTGGCCCATCAACCCCCCTCCCCGCATCCACCCGCCTCCCCCCATACACCCTTCAAGCGCCACTCCCTGCCGCGCACACACACTGCCCCAGTCTCCCCCAGTCTCCTCCCCACGCTGCCCCTCTTCGAAGCGCCGCACTTCTCCTTCCACGCGCTGCAGCAAGCCACAGAGGGCTTCGCCCCGCACAGGGTGCACCGGCAGGCGCACCTGGGGGAGGTGTATCTGGGGACGATCAAAACCGTGGGGGAGGTGATGGTGGTGCGGCAAATGGCGCCCGGGGCGGGGGAAGGGGGGAGCACCGGGGGAGGGGGGAGCTTCGGGAGAGATAAGCGTGGTGTGGGGGGGCGGAGTGGAGAACTGGGGAGGGGAGGGGAGTGGGGGACGGGGGAGGAGGCGCGGGAGAGGGAGAGGGAAAGGGAGAGGGACATGTGGGTGAGTCGCACGATAGCAGAGGCGCACGCGCTGAGGAGAGTGGTGCACCGCAACCTGGTGACTCTGCTGGGCTTTACCGTCACCACGGACCAGTGCCTGCTCACCTACACCCACACCGACGCCCCTGACCTCTTCCACTCGCTTCACCTCCCTGGTGAGACATGTGGCAAGGTGAGACATGTGGCAAGGTGAGACATGTGGCAAGGTGAGACATGTGGCAAGGTGAGACATGTGGCAAGGTGAGACATGTGGCAAGGTGAGACATGTGGCAAGGTGAGACATGTGGCAAGGTGAGACATGTGGCAAGGTGAGCATGCATGTGGCAAGGTGAGACATGTGGCAAGGTGAGACTGGAGTGGTGGGGTGGGGCAAGGTCGAGGTGGGGCAACTGCTTGTGACACTGCTGGGAGTCGCTGTCACCAGTGCTCACCTGCACCCACGGCCACACCCCCACGCCTCACCTCTTCCACTCGCTGCACCGCCTCGTGACGCACCTGCTTGGTGAGACGAGTTGATATCAATCTATAACTCCTTTCATCTTCTGATTGGTCACGCCCCACAAGCAAGCCATTCTCTTCTCACCCTCCCTCCCTCCCTCCCTCCCTCCTTCCCTCCCTCCCTCCCTCCCTCCCTCCCTCCCTCCCTCCCTCCCTCCCTCCCTCCCTCCCTCCCTCCCTCCCTCCCTCCCTCCCTCCCTCCCTCCCTCCCTCCCTCCCTCTGTGCAGAGCAAGCATTGCAGGAGCCCATGGGGTGGCAGGCGAGGGTGCATGTGGCGCATGCCGTGGGGGAGGGGCTGCTGCAGCTGCACGTGTGCTCGCACCCCCACATCCTGCACGGCGCACTCGTCTCACGCAACGTGCTGCTGCCCCACGGCCAACCCCCCCAGGCAAGTTTCTTTGCCTTGCGGCCAAACCCCCCAAGCAAGTGCGCTCCTTGAGACGTGTGGTTCAGTGTTATGCTGGCACACACGCATGTGCTGGCACACACGCATGTGCTGGCACACACGCATGTGCTGCCACACACGCATGTGCTGCCACACACGCATGTGCTGCCACACACGCATGTGCTGCCACACAGTCCCGCCTGTCCTTGCCCATCCCGTCCGCCCATCCAACCCTCTCGTTATCCCCCGCCCGCCACTACTCCCCCATTCCCCCACTCTCCCATTCCGCCACTTCCAAATCCCGCCACTCTCCCATTCCCCCACTCTCCCATTCCGCCACTTCCAAATCCCCCCACTCTCCCATTCCCCCACTCTCCCATGCCCCCACTCTCCCATTCCCGCACTCTCCCGTTCCCCCTTCCCCCGCCGCCAGCTATTCGACTTTGGAATGTCACACTTTGCAGAGGCTCGCAACGACAACTTCGCCTCGCCCTACTGCCAAGCGTAAGCGCCCTCCCTTCAGCCCTACTGCCAAGCGTAAGCGCCCTCCCTTCAGCCCTACTGCCAAGCGTAAGCGCCCTCCCTTCAGCCCTACTGCCAAGCGTAAACACCCTCCCTTCAGCCCTACTGCCAAGCGTAAGCGCCCTCCCTTCAGCCCTACTGCCAAGCATAAGCGCCCTCCCTTCAGCCCTACTGCCAGGCGTAAGCACCCTCCCTTCAGCCCTACTGCCAAGCGTAAGCGCCCTCCCTTCAGCCCTACTGCCAAGCATAAGCGCCCTCCCTTCAGCCCTACTGCCAAGCGTAAGCACCCTCCCTTCAGCCCTACTGCCAAGCATAAGCGCCCTCCCTTCAGCCCTACTGCCAAGCATAAGCGCCCTCCCTTCAGCCCTACTGCCAAGCATAAGCGCCCTTCTTCCCTGCTACTATTAAGCCCCTTCCCCTTCCACTCCTTGTCTTCCTCCCCCCCCTCTCACTCACTCGTTGCAGGTACAAAGCACTAGAGTGCGCCACAACAGGGGAGACGGACAAGTCAGTTCTTGCAAGCCTCTCTCCCCCGTTTCCCTTACACTCGTTGAGGTGCCTCTGAAAGTAACCCCAGCCCCCTTCTCCCTACCCACTCGCTGCTGGGATATCATCTCAGAGTGCACCACAACAGGGGAGACGGACAAGTCAGTTCTTGCAAGCCTCTCTCCCCCGTTTCCCTTACACTCGTTGAGGTGCCTCTGAAAGTAACCCCAGCCCCCTTCTCCCCACCCACTCGCTGCTGGGACATCATCTCAGAGTGCGCCACAACAGGGGAGACGGACAAGTCTGTTCGTGCACCCAGCCAAACCTTGTGCCCGCTTTCCCTTGTGCCCGCTTTCCCTTGTGCCCGCTTTCCTTTGTGCCCCGCTTTCCCTTGTGCCCCGCTTTCTTCACCCACTCCCTGCAAGTACATCGCCCCCAAGTGCGGCACCACAGGGGAGACGGACAAGACGAGAGGCGTGAGTCGCCCGAGAAGCAGCCCGCATTGCCCCTTGTTCCCCACACTCCTTTACCTCCTCCTCCCCGCCCCACTCCGTGCAGGTACATGGCCCCCGAGTGCGGCACCACAGGGGAGACGGACAAGACGAGAGGCATGAGGTGCCTCAGAACCAAACCCCGCCCGCCACGCTCCTTGCTCCCTCCCCGCCCTCTCTCTTTCACTCCGTGCAGGTACATGGCCCCCAAGTGCGGCACCACAGGGGAGACGGACAAGACCACCGACATGTATGCTTATGGTGTGCTGCTCCTTGAGCTCGTTTCCGGGAAGCTTCCGTACGATGACGATCGTGATCCGGTGCAGCTGAGCGACTGGGTAAGCCTTGGGACTTGCAGTCTTATACTTGTCACACGAGTGGGCCTTGGGATTCGCTTTTGAGAGGTGTGTTTCTAGAATCCCCTGTGAGAATCTGATTTAAGAATTCTCAAAAGTGATGCAGCTGAGTGACTGGGCAAGCCTTGGGACTTCCAGTCTTGTATTTCTCACACAGGAGGACCTTGGGATTCCCGTGTTGCTGACCTTACTTGGCCTGGGGAACCCTTTTCTTGCTTGCAGTGCGCCCTTCTGCTCTTTGCTTGCGCACAACGATTCAAGAGGTTTCCGTCTGGCCTGGTTGTGTATGTTGGAACCTTGTATGCGGCATGGATGTGTGTGATGGATGGGATGTTGTGCAGGCACGGCAGCAGGACTGGAGCAGCTCAGATTCAATAAAGGAGTTGGTGGATCCGCTGTTAGAGGGGATGTACAACGAGGATGAGGTAAGCCCAGCACTTTTGGAAGGCACATGATCTAAAATCCGCTCCCTTTCTGAGCCTCTGGCTTGATTCGTTTGACTCCTCTTTGAGCCACTCACTCTCAGAATTGACATTATCTCTTCCCCTCTCATGGGTCAGGTGCTCATATTGGCGTCCCTTGCAATGCGATGCATCAATGTGGATAAGAGAGAGCGGCCGACGGTCAAAGAGGTGTGTAACGGTCATGGTTGAAAGGATCCATGCATGTGTGAATGGTTACATGTGTGCACACACTCACACGCACACATGTGCGCGTGCATGTGTGCTCACACACGCATACACCCACCTACACAAAAATGCATATGCATACATGGGCATCCACACAGACATGCACGCATGCCTGCATGCGCACACGGAAACACAGGCGCACACGGAAACACAGGCGCACACGCAAACACAGACGCACATGCAAACACGGACGCACACGCAAACATGGACGCACACTGATGTGCGCACAAGCTATGATGACATTCTTCAGTTTTTATGTTGTCCCTTGCCATCCATGTCATGCAGGTTCATGATCTCTTGGCTCCTATCATGGGACAGGAGGAAGGGAGCCCCTGATAACAGCCCTTCAGAGACATTTCACTAAGAAATGCTCACAATACAAGCCTGTATTCAAGAGAAAGGGGGGTATTATTTGCTTTTGCTGTTTCTGGGTGATGCTTTTGCTTTTAAAGGGGTTGCAATAACTATCAGAGAGGCATGATCCTCCATGTTGTATTGTGATTTTTCTATTATGGGCATCGCTGCGAGTTCTGGCTTGTGGATGACTACGGAGTGAAATTGAGGTGGAGTGGAGATGAGAGTTTAGGGTTACCTAAATTCTATATAAAGTGCCAGTTTAAACAGGTTTTTATGTCAAAACATATCACACTGATGTGCACTCTGCTGATCAACTCTATCTCGAACGAACATCCAGCCCGTGGCCACACTCGTACTGAGGTCGCAGGGTATCCAAGTAACCCACATCTTTGCGAACTCGATTTGCGATGGAAGATCCCGAGGTTGGTGCATCACCAGATGGACATTCCCGAGGCACATGTCTGCACTGTGTGCGGAACAGTCGTACTCTGCCATATCTTCCCTGCAGCCATTCTTTTTCTCGAGTTTGGTACACAGTAGGGCCTGTGAGGGTCTTCTAACCTTGATTTGGGCCGAATCCGAGCTTCCATTCTGTCGGAAGCAGGTGATTTTATTCCGCGTCACGCGCGTCGCCCCGCAATGGCGCGGCTGTGTCTCTTATTGATTGCGCTCGTCGCCGCTGTCGTCTCTGTTACCAATGTCGCCTGCGTTCGCGGCGAGCCTTCCGCGCACGTTTTCGCTTCAGGCGAAGAGTGGCAGACGGTGAAAGACGTTTCGTCGAACGAATCTCCTCTCAGACGGCGACTTCTTCAAGCCAAGGTGGTCTGCCGCGCGCACGCTGCCCTGTCCGAACCACACTCTTCTCCGCAGTCTCCTCTAATATACCATTATTCCCTTATTCGCCTTCGAACCAAGTATTTCCGACATAAGGCATCGGAACGTTAGTCTGATTGTTATGCGACCGCTCAAAACTATAGGTCACGAGTTGCTTGACGTGGCATGGAAATGGCTTGCTTGACACGTGTGCATTCCGAAACGAGGCTGGTCGTGAAGCATTTCAAACAATGCACTCATCTTATTCCGAGCATCGCATCTCATCGCACCGCATCTCATCGCACCGCATCTCATCGCATCGCATGACGTGTCATGTGTCGATGCCGCATGATTGCCTGAATTGTTCTGCCACGTCAGCAGCGCCTTCGCCGCAAGCAGCAGTTGGACGACGGTCCGGGGAGCGCATTGGCGGAAGAAGCCCCGCGGAAGGCCAAGAAGCGCGCTGGGGGCGCGGCAGCGGCCGCGGAGGGGTGAGCCGATTGAGAAGAATGGAGGGGTTGGGGGGGCGGTGGAGGTGGACGTGGGGGAAAGAAAAGGGGGAAAGGCGGGGGTGGGTTTCTGGTTGGGCGAAGAGGGTGCACGGAGGGGTGGGGAGGGGGGGTGCTGGGGAAACATTCTTGTTGCCCCTTTTCCCACCTGCAATGCAGCATCCCCATCGCATCCGCCATTCGCCCTCTCACCCGCCTTTCCCCTGCCCCCCTCGCCACCCGTCCCCCTTTCCCCGCCCCCAACCCTCTTCTCCCTCACCGCGTCTCCCCCCGCGCGCCTCCCTTACCAGAGCCGCGCAGCAGCCCCAGCCGCAGCTGGACACGATCCCCGCGCAGCTGCCCGCGCAGATCCCCGAAACCCCCCCCAGTTCCGCCACGCTGCTCGACCCCGTCCCCATTGACGTCCCCTCCGCGTCCGACCAGCCGTCCCTGTCCACCTCCTCCGCGCTCTCCGCCTCCGCGGTCTCCCCCGCGGACTCCCCCGCGGATGAGCTCGCGGGGCTGACCCAGCGCGTGGCTAAGAGCGTGCGGGACGTGCGGGGGTACGCCAAGCTCAACGTGTCCACGGCGACCGTGCAACAGGTGAGTGGGATGGCATGGCGCAGCAGGTGTTAGGGGTGGCGTCTAAGTCGACTCAAAAGCCATGAGCTGGCGGGGCCGGGCTGAGCTGAGCCAGCGCGTGGCTAAGATCGTGTGGGACGTGCGCGGGTATGAGGAGCTCAATGTGTCCACTGCAACAAGGTATGCAACTGTACAGCAGGTGAGCGACAAGGTGGACCACAGCCCTTTACAGTCCTCACCGCACATTTCTTTGCTTCCACCCCTTGCAGCCCCTTGCAACCCCTTGCAACCCCTTGTACCCCCTTGCAAGCGCTTGCAACCCCTTGCAACCCTTTGTAACCCGTTTCCACCGCGTGCATGTGTGCGAGATGGTGGACCACAACCTGGCGCCGTGGACGCGCATCCCGCAGATCGATTACTTGCCACACGTCCACCCTTTTTGACCGCTCTCAACTGCTTGCTTGCTGCGCTATCACCCCTTTCAACCGCTTTGAACCGCGTGCATGCAGGTGTGCGAGATGGTGGACCACAACCTGGCGCCGTGGACGCGCATCCCGCAGATTCGTGACGGCATGGGCGCTGCCGGCATGGTGGCGCCCAGCCTTGTCAAAACCATCAGCCAGCGCGCACGGGTGAGCGAGGGAGGGGGGTAAGGAGGGTGACTCAGGAGGGGGAGGGTGTGGGAGGGGGACGGCTGACACGGCATGGGCGCTGCCGGCATGGTGGCGCCCAGCCTTGTCAAAACCATCAGCCAGCGCGCACGGGTGAGGGGAAGGAGGGGGGGTGCGGAGGGGGAGAGTGTGGGAAGGGTGTGGGAGGGGGGCGGCTGACACAGCATGAGCGTTGCCGGCATTGTGGCGCCCAGTCTTGTCAAGACCATCAGCCAGCGCCCACGGGTGAGGGGAAGGAGGGGGGGTGAGGAGGGGGAGAGTGTGGGAAGGGTGTGGGAGGGGGGCGGCTGACACTGCATGGGCGTTGCCGGCATTGTGGCGCCCAGTCTTGTCAAGACCATCAGCCAGTGCCCACGGGTGAGCGAGGGGGTTGGGTGGGAGGTGATTGGGGGGGGGGGGGGGGGGGGTGGAGAGATGAGGGAGGGGGTTGGGGGGTTTAAGATGGCAGAGCAATGGAATGGGCGTTGCTGGCATGGTGGCTCCCAGCCTTGTCAAGACCATCAGCCAGCGCCCACGGGTGAGGTGGGAGGGAAAGGTTGAGTGCTAGAGAGGGGGTTACGCAGGGGGGAAGAAGAGAAGGGGTAGGAGGCCAAGTGAGGGTAGTGGGCTGGCATTCATGGGCTTCGTTGTTGCCTTCTCCTTCCCGCTTGTCATTCCATCCCTCCTCCCTGCCCCACCCTTTCACATCCGTCCAAGTTGGGTGCCGGTCACGTGAGCTGCTCTTCACCCCTTTCCCGCTCTCTTCTTTGTCTCTTTTCGCACACCCCTTTCACCACTTCACCAATTCCCTCTTCTCCTTATTTCCCCTCCTCCACCCGATTCAGTTCATGTCTTGCGCTGGCCACGTGAGGGTGGTGGACGGATCAGTCTACTTCCTCCTTCGCACAACCCGTTCTCCCACTCCCTCATTCCTCTCCTTCCTCTCCTCCCTCCCTCCCTCCCTCCCTCCCTCCCTCCTCCCCCTCCTCCACCAATCAGTTCATGTCATGCGCCGGCCACGTGAGGGTGGTGGACGGGTCAGTCTATTTCCGTTTGGGCGGATTCATCACCATCCCGCACTTGGTGCCCCTCTCCCACCCCCCAAACCTTCTCCCCCCCCTCCCGCCCCCACCCCCCTCCCCTCCCATCAGTTTATGTCATGCGCCGGCCACGTGAGGGTGGTGGACGGGTCAGTATATTTCCTCCGTTGCACAACCCATTCCCCCACCCCCTCCATCCTCTCCTCCACTCCCTCCTTCCTCTCCTCCCCACCCCCCTTCCCCAATCAGTTCATGTCATGTGCGGGCCACGTGAGGGTGGTGGACGGGTCAGTCTACTTCCGGCTGGGCGGATTCATCACCGTCCCCTACCGCGTGCGGCGCTTCCTGCAAACCGTGCAGACCATTCAGGTGAGAGAGTGTCGAGTTAGGCTGAGTCGCCTTCAGTCAGTCGCGCGCCAGGTGAGTTCAAGCCCCTTCAAAACCGTTCCTTACCGCGTCAGGCGATTCTTGCAGACCATTCAGGTGAGTGTCAGTTGAGGTGCCTTACAATTCGCCTTTAGAGTTGAGGCGCCTCACAAGTCGACTCAAGAGTCGCCCTTCAAGTGAGTGAGTGAGTGAGTGAGTGAGAGTCGATCAAGGCCCCTCCAAAGCCATTCCCTACTGCCTCAGGCGCTTCCTGAAGACTGTGAAGACCATCCCGGTGAGTGTTGGTCGAGGGTCCTCGAAAGACAGTCTGGTTAGACACCAGTGCTGCCTCGCCCACCCTTCTCTCATCCCAGCCCTCTCAGCCCTCTCGTTTTCCTTTCCAATCACTTCCCTTCAATCCTTCCCACGCCCGTCTGCCTTTCCTATGTTAAACACCCCCCTTCCTTGGATCTCCCCTCACCAGTACTCCCGCCTCCCGCCTCTCTTCCTTTACTCCAGCAGCCCGCACTATCTCTTGCATCCATGCCCCCCCGTTCTTTGAGTCGACTCACAAGCGGCCCCCTTCTACTCTCTTCTCCCCCTCTCACGCATACCTCAGCTCAGATCAACACGCCCTTGACTCACTCGTTAGAAATCTCTAAAGTGATTATAGGAGAGTCCTCACTTCACCTCTCCAAATCCACCTCCCCTCCCCCTCCCGGCCCCGCCTTCCGCTCCTTGTTTCTGCACCCCAACCTTCTCTTCTCCCCTCCCCCCGACCTCGTTTTCCTCCTCCTTCCCCTTTCATCCCCCTTCCCCTTTCATCCCCCTTCTCCTCCCATCTCACAACCTCCCTCCCTTCCCTCCTTCTCCCCGAATCCCCCTGCTCCCATCTTTCACCCACCCCCCCCCTCCCCCCCTCTCACAATCCCTGCAGCAAGCAGTAGACTTCCACAACCTGGCAGCCGTGTTTTGAGACGCCTCAAAAATCCCTCCTTCTCCCCGAATCCCCCTGCTCCCTTCTTCCCCCCTGCTCCCTTCTTCCCCCCCCCCTCCCCCTTCTCCCCCCCTCCCCCCCTCCCACAATCCCTGCAGCGAGCAGTAGACTTCCACAACCTGGCGGCCGTGCGGGCGGAGTTCTTTGTCAACACGTGCGACCTGCCCATCAGCTATGACAGCGACGTGGGCGGCAGCCGCCCGGTGGGCTTTCCCTTCTTCAGCACGCGCGTCGTCCCCGGCTCCGTGGACGTGGCCATCCCAGACCCGCTTGACTTACCTGACAACATGGATCTGCCTGAGAACGTGGAGGTGCGCGAGGGAGTAGAGATGGTTGGGATGGGTCAGGGTGGGTTGGCAGCCGCCCAATGAGGTTCCCCTTCTTCAGCACGCGTGTGGTGCCGGGCTCTGTGGACGTGGCCATTCCAGACCCCCTCGACTTACCTGACAACATGGACCTTCCTGAGAACGTGGAGGTGAGAGAATGGAGTGCGGTTGGGTGGGGTGGGGATGGGTGGGGATGGGTTGGGATGGGTGGGGATGGGTTGGGATGGGTGGGCTCCGTGGACGTGGCCATCCCGGACCCCCTCGACTTACCTGACAACATGGACCTTCCTGAGAATGTGGAGGTGGGGTAGAGGGGGTGGGGAAGGTGGGGTAGAGGGGGTGGGGGAGGTGGGGTAGAGGGGGTGGGGAAGGTGGGGTAGAGGGGGTGGGGAAGGTGGGGTAGAGGGGGTGGGGAAGGTGGGGTAGAGGGGGTGGGGAAGGTGGGGTAGAGGGGGTGGGGAAGGTGGGGTAGAGGGGGTAGGGAAGGTGGGGTTCAGGTGGGTAGGGGTGTGTTGCCTCATGACCGATTTTGGAGGTCTAAGTCTTGCTTGCTCCGTGGACGCGGCCATTCCCGACCCTTTCGACCTGCCCGACAACATGGACCTTCCTGCGAACGTGGAAGTGGGTGGTTTGGGAAGAGAGAGCGGCAGAGGGGGGGCTGTGGGGTTGGGTTGGCGAATGATTGATGCTGGGGTGTGGGTCTGCTCTGTGGACGTGGCCATCCCGGACCCCCTCGATTTGCCCGACAACATGGATGAACCTTCCTGAGAACGTGGTGGTGGGGATGGATGGGAATGGGTGGGGGTGGGCTTAGAGTGGTGGATCTGGGAGGGCTCTGCGAGGAGAACCGACCCCTGATTTGAAAAGTCACGTTGAAATGAGGTGCGAGAAGCCACCTCTCTTCTCCCACCCTCTCCATGCCAACCCCCTTGCCGCAGGTGCCCTGGGAGGAGAAGGAGAACACCGCACTGTGTTCCGTTTGAATCGCGCTGAACCGTTCTCCCCCCCTTTTTTCTCCGCTTCCCCTGCTGCAGGTGCCGTGGGAGGAGAAGGAGAACCGCGCTGTGTTCCGCGGCACGGCCAGCAGCTTCCCGTTTGAGGACTCGCAGAACTGGCGCGCCCACCCCCTCATCCGCCTGCACAGGTAGACATGTGATAGGAGTCACTTTTTGAGACGTCTCAAACAGCTTCCCGTTTGAGGACTCTCAGAGCTGGCAGGCCCACCCCCTCATCCACCTCCACAGGTAGGATGTTCTGGTGTAGGTAGAACTGGCGGAGGGCGCACCCCCTCATCCGCCTGCACAGGTGGGGCCTTCTGGGGTAGGTACTAGATAGCTTATTCTCCAGGGCACGTGCACCCACTTATTTTCAGGGCACGTGCACCCACTTATTTTCAGGGCACGTGCACGGTGCACCCACTTGTTTTCAGGGCACGTGCACGGTGCACCCACTTATTTGCCTGCACAGGTGGGACCTTCTGGACGTGACGCTGATGCTCACTCGCACTCTTCGTCCTCCCCTCCTCCCCACCCCACTCCCCCCTTCCCCCACTTCCCCCCCCTCCCCGCCCCCCCCCTTCCAGGATGGCGGAAGCGCGGCCAGACCTGCTGGATGTGAAGCTGATCGGGTGGAGCCGAGACATCGATGGGGACGTGCGCAAGAGGTATGGGCAGCCACGGTGGGGTGGGTCACTGGGCCAGAAGGTGGGGGGGGGAGAAGGTGAAGGGGGGAGAAGGTGAAGGGGGGGACAGAAATTGGGGTGGTGGGAGGGACAGAAAGTGGGGTGGTGGGGTTTGGCCAGACGGTGATGCAGGGAAGGGGGTGATGTTACCCGGTGAATCTTGCACCTTCGGCGTTACTTGATGAACTTCCTTCCATCCTCCTTCTCAGTGCCTGCTCTCACTCGCTCTCCCCCACTTTTGTTCCCTGTCACTCCCCCTCACTCTTGCTCACTCATGCTCACTCCCCCTCACTCCCTCTCACTCGCCCGCGCTTGCTCTCTCACCAAACTCCCTCGCACCTCATATCCACTCCGTTTCCTTCATCCCCGCACGCTCTTCTTAGGATGGAGGCGGATGGAGTGGCCATGGTGGGGCGCCCCACACTCACGGCCGACCCACCAATGAGCAAGTTCAAGTACCAGATCGTGTCAGGGCTGCCCTCCTCGCACCAGACCTGTGCTATTCTGGCCCGGGGCGAGCAGGTGAGGTTGTGAAGCGAGCAGGTGAGGTTGTGAAGCGAGCAGGTGAGGTTGTGAAGCGAGCAGGTGAGGCATAACATCTCTCGCACCTCTCTCACCTCACTCTCCACCGACCCACCAATGAGCAAGTCCAAGTACCAGATCGTGTCTGGCCTGCCCTCCTCCCACCACACCTGTGCTATTCTTGCTCGGGGCGAGCAGGTGAGATTTGACAAGTGATTGTGAGGCGTTTCTAGGAAGGGAAAAGCAGGTGAGGTATGAGATGTCTCACAAGGCCCTCCCCCCCTCCCCCATTCCCCCATTCCCCCCTCCACCATTCCCCCCTCCCCCATTCCCCCCTTGGTAGTTCTTAATGCCTGTCTTGCAGCCATATGTGAACTTTGTCCCTTCTTCTTCCCCGTCCCCCCATCATACCACCCCCACTTCCCCTGTACCCCCCTCCTTTACCCCCTCCCTCCTACAGGTGGCCATCAGGCAGGCCTCGCCCTACGCGGAGTTCTTCACGCCACTCTTAAAGCCCTACGTGAACTTCATCCCGGCGAACCGGCACTTTGACAACCTGATAGAGAAGCTGCGGTGGGCGCAGAGCCACGACAACCACGTGCACCACATGGTGGCCGCGGCTAAACGGGCGGCCAAGTGAGTGTGTGTCTGTGCTGTGCATGTGTGTGCTGAGTATGAGTGCTGAGTGTGAGTGCTGAGTGTGTGTGTTGGTGGGCTCGGAGCCATGGCAACCACGTGCACCACATGGTTGCTGCGGGCAAACGGGCGGCTAAGTGAGTGTGTGTGTGCTGAGTGTGTGTGTGTTGGATGTGTGTGCTGGTCATGCAGCATGCATCAGTGTGCAACATGCTCATGAGTGGCAGAGCCACGACAGCCATGTTCTCAAATGCATGAATGTGCATTCATGGTTCCCCCCCTCCTCTCCTTCCTCCCCTCCCCATCCTCCACTCCCCCTGTCCCTCTCCTCACTGCTGGAACCGCCAGGTGGGCGTGCACACGTAGCGGGCACACGCTTTACTGGGCCATCCTCCTTATAAAGTACTCCAAGAACGCGCTACAAGACCCCTCTACAATCAAGGCCCCGGTCAAGACGCTCTGCCAGGACCCCCTCGATCCCGCCCTCCTGGAAATGGCCGGCCTTGCTGCTCCCTCCTCCCCCACCTCCTCTCCCTCGCTCTCTCTCCCGGACTCCTGGCCCCCCGTGTGCTCCCGTGACAATATTGACCGCAGCGCTCAGCCAAAGTGTGTATATTACTGCCAGAAGGGGGTCATTCCCGGTAAGAGCTTTGTCTGGGTGTCGGCAGAAGCCCTCAAGGCTGGTGTTGGGGCGCAGTCAGCGTAGCGCTTCTCCTGAGGAGAGCCAGTGGGTGGGGAGTGCAGGGAGGACAGGACAGGGAGTTGCTCATCAGCAACATTGTGAGGGTGGACGGCAGACCGACTATTGACTGTTGTAATGGTTGTGGTGGTGATTGCTCTTCTTCTAAAATCCTGGAGAAGTCCAGGATGCTTCCGCACCTGAGAGAATCAGTTCATTGATGTCTTGTATGGGATTCGGAGCTCTTATTTCTGGCCTGGAAGTTCTCGCAACTGTGAGGGCATGCCTGGTCACAATCCTGGTCTGGTTCAGTTGCTGGCACTGTAATGTTCATGACTTGGAGTAGTACAGTTATGTGATAGTATTAGTATGTTCAATACATGGCGTGGCTTATTACCTATCCTTGACCTCGTCAAGCATACGAGGGATTTGCAAATCCTACCCACCCAGTGTTCAAAAATCTACATATCACAACAAAAGAACAGAGCCTACTGTTCCTGCTTACATCCCTTAGGTCTGTCAAGGGGCAAGCATTTGTGCTAGCCCTTGCGAAACATCCCATTGTCAGGCGGCCAGGAAGGCATCCTGGGAGTCGGAAGGGTTGACAGAGAAGTACTGTGAGGGCGGCCCGCTGATGAGGCCGCAGTCGTCAGCGTCTTCCACACACGGCAGCGGACCCAGATTGGGTGAGCGGCCAATCAAGGCTGATGCCTCCTCCCATGGACTGCAATTCGAAAGAGGAATTAGAGAGAGAAGGGAGACAGAAGAGAGCAAGGGAACCGATGAGTTACTGCTGTGCATGAACACATTTTCATCCTACGATCTGTTTAGAATGCAGCAAGCCGAGAAGAGGGGAAACGGCAACCGATATGGTGCTGTGAAGGTGTCTGTAGCTTACCTGTCGTCACTAAAAAACATGTCGATGGAGAGTCCAGACTGCTGCTGCTGTGGTGGCTGCTGCTGCTGCTGCCGGTCGTCAGCACAGGCAGAGGGAGGATGAATCTGGGTTGTAGAATGAAGTTGTTGCTGCATGTAAGGCTGAGACGTGGTCTGCTGTTGCATGGGCGGAGGACCAGGCAGCTGCTGTTGTTGCTGCTGCTGCTGATACTGCTGGTGCTGGATTTGCGGCTGCATGTGCATGGTTTGAGCCTGATACTGCTGTTGCTGCGGTTGCTGCTGCTGCTGCTGCTGGTACTGCATGGGTTGGGTTTGATGGTGCAGAGGAGGCTGCTGCTGCGCTGGTGGCCCTTGCACTGCTTGTGTCGACTGTTGGTAGAACGGCTGCTGCTGCTGTGGCTGCATGGGAGCAGCATGCGAGTACTGCTGCTGGGGCTGCCCCATGGGTGCATGCGAGAGGGATGGCTGGGAACCCATGGGCGCCTGGGGCGGTGCGGGGCTGTGCATTCGAGACTGGGAAGGGGCGGGGCTGTACCGCTGCTGCTGCTGGGTGTTGCTCATCTGCCGCATGTTGGTGTGGCTTGGTGGCATACCACCGGAGCCACCAGAACTCCCCATCTGGTAACCCATCGGCTGCTGCTGCTGCTGCTGCTGCTGGGATTGCACTGGTTGGTACATCTGCTGCTGCTGCTGTTGCTGATACTGCTGCTGCTCATACGGTCCGTCACTGTACCCACAACCATCCGAGCCATTGAGCAGGTCCAGGGGCGGGGGGCAGTACTGGTCGGAGGGCGCAGCAACGAAGCTCTTCCGGGGCGACTCAAACATGGACTGGGAGCGCATGAGGTGCGGCCGCCCATGCCTGGGCTCAGGCACGGAGCTGCAGCGCGTGAGCACGTAGGGGTTGCTGTGAGGCGCGCCCATAGGGGTGCCCACGGGGGTGCCAATTGGAGATGCCATACTGGATGCCGACAGACCAGAACCGTGGCTGCTGAGGCTGGAGGGAGGCGGGCCCAAGGGGGACGGGTGGGCGGGCGGCCTCTGGACGAGGCTGGGCAGGCGCAGCAGAGGCACCTTCACGCCCCCACCGCTGCTGGTGCTGCTGGTGGTGCTGCTGGAAGAGGCGAGTCCCCCGAGGGGCATGGGGAGGGTTTGGGAGTGCGGCTGTTGCTGCTGGAGAGGCGGCTGGACATTGGGGGGAGGGGGAGGCAGCATGGATCCACGCGGGGCTCGCATTGGCTGAGGGGGACCGGACATGGCTGTGGTTTGCATTGGCTGTGGCTGCATCACCGACGCTTGCTGCAGCGGCGCTTGCTGCACAGACACTTGCGGCTGAGGCTGATGCTGTGGCTGCGGCTGCGCCTGATGCTGCACGTTCATGGGTTGCTGCTGCCCTTGGACTGGCTGCACCCGCATCTGCTGCTGCTGCAGTGGCTGCTGGGCCTTGGGTGCCCCGTCAGAATAAGCAGAGCGGGCGGAGACGAGAGGGTGGGTTTCAGGGGACTCAGGCTCGCCGCTGAGCACCAGGGCGCGCGAGCTGAACTTGCACGCCTCGCCTCTCTGCGCCGCGCCCTGCCTCGACTGCCCCTGCTGAGGGGTGTATGGCGTCTGCTGGGGCTGTGGTTGCCCCGCCTGGTCCATACCTTGCTGCTGCTGTGGCTGCATCACTGGCGTCATGGGTGCCTGCCCAGGGGCCTGCTTGGCGTGCTCCGGCTGCCACTGCTGGTTCTGGCCCTGCCACTGCCCGCCCTGTTGCTGAGACCGAGGCGTCTGCTGCTGCTGTGCTGCGCAAGGGGATTGCCACTGCTGCTGCTGCTGCTGTTGTTGCCCAAGTGGTGCCTGGGCTGGTTGAGACTGCCACTGGTTACCACCTGCGGGCTGAGAAGGAGCGTTGGTGCCTTGCTGCGGCGCCTGCTGCGGCGCCTGCTGCTGCTGCCATTGCTGCTGCTGCCCTGGTTGTTGCGGCTGCCACTGCGGTTGCTGGGAAGGAGCCTGGGACTGCTGTTGCTGCTGCGGCTGGCATTGCTGCTGCTGCTGCTGCTGCTGCTGCAGGGGCTGCCACGGCTGCTGCTGCTGATTCGGCGTCGACCACCGCTGTTGTGGCTGCTGCTCCAGCTGCTGCTGCGGCCGAGGAGAGGGCGCGGAAGAAAGGTCTTGCGGCTGCTGTGACTGGCCCTGCCACTGCTGCTGTGCCGGCTGCTGCTGCTGCGGCCGCCACTGTTGCTGCGGCTGCTGAGACGGTGGCTGCTGCTGGAAAGGCTGCTGCGCGGGCGACTGCCGCTGCTGGCCTTGGGTCTGCCAGTTGCTTCCGCCGAGGGGCACAGCGCCATTGGGACCTCGTCCGCCCGTCTGCAGCTGGTAGTGCCCCGGCTGGAGCTGCCCCACGCCGTTACCACCACCAGCGCCAGCAGTGTCAGCACCAGCAGCGGCACCAGCAGGCGCCATTCCGCTGGAGGAGACGGGCGTCCGTGAGTTACCGCTGGGCGGCACCTGCAGACACAGCCGCTGCCCGCCGCCCAGCACCAGCGACGTGGACCGCTGCATGCGAGGCGGCGAGCCCATGCGCCCGGCAGGCTGTTGCTGCTGAGAGTACAGGGCGTTTGACGCACCTGACTGCTGTTGGCGGGGCGGCATGGATCGCGAGGGCATCAGCGCATGCTGCTGCTGTGGCTGCTGCGGAGGCATGGGGGCGGGGCTGCCTTCGTCGCCTTCCACTATGCTGTGCCCGGGTTGGAAGGTGGAGGTGAGGCGAGGGCCCAGAGAGCCGTTCAGCTGCAGCTGAATCCGGCCGTTGCTGCTGCCGCTGCTGTGGCACGGCATTGACTGCGACTTCTGCAGCCGCGGGTCCGCCCCGAAGTGCTGCTGCTGCTCAAAGGGCTGCTGCTGCTGCTGCTGCTCAAAGGGCTGCTGCTGCTGCTGCTGCTGCTGCTGCTGCTGCGGCTGCTGAGGGTTGTAACAGTCTGAGCCGCCAGAGACGAGCAACTTACTGTTGGATGCGGCTTCAGGGGGAGGCGCGGAGGAAGTGGAAGGAGCGGGCGTGGGCTCAGGGAGGCCGAACGGGGTGAACATGGCACGGGACGGCGGGGCTGCAGCGGTATCGGAGCCAGTGACTGCGCTGGCAGAGGCGGCGGGAGCAGCAGTAGCGGACGGGGTGCACGCAGGGTCGTGGGGCTGTTGGTTGGTCGGGACGGGTGATCCCGTGTTCTCCGGGGACAGCTCGATGGCGAGTTGCTTGGAGCAACCAAGGCCCCTGCGAGGACACAAGGAAACAAGAGAAGAAAACCATAAGCCACAGAGTAAGGCAATCAGAGGAGCAAGTGCGGAATAGGAATATGCTTCCAGCACCGTATGTTGTCCATTGACTGGCACGATCACAAAGAATCTAAGCCTCTGCTCGGTGTTTCTAAGAAACACAACGAATAAGAGAGAACAGACAGAGGGTGCCACGTACGAGGTCTTGGAGGCGGGAGTGCGCGCCTGGTCCGCGCCGACAGGCTGCGCGGGCGGGGGCAGCGCAAGCGGAGGCGGAGGGGACCCGCGGGTAACAGTCGAGCCCACATCGTCCGTGTTCAACCGCAGCTTCGACACCGAGCCTATTTCCATCTTCGACACCGAACCGAGCTCGAACTTCGGCACGAGGCCCTTGTGGCAGGGCGTGTCGGTGCACGTGTCAGTCATGGCGGAGCACGTGCCCTCCACGCACCCCATGGGCCCCTCGGACGATGCGGCCTGGATGGACAGCGACGATCCGGCCGTCGCCTTGTCGCTGAGCCTTCGCGATTTGCCCAGCCGGTTTCGGCCGCGGTGCATGTGGCGCTCGCAGTACTTCTGGTCCGTCACCGCCTGCCATGAGCCACGCGGGAGGGGGAGAGAGGGGGAGAGATTGGGGGGAGGTGGGAAGGAGACAGGAACGGGAGAGGGTCAGATGGACAAGGTAGAAAAAATCAACCTCGGAGTCGAGACGGCGAGACACGCCGAAGCGAAGGGAGCGAGGCGAGGGAAGGGTGAGGAGTGGAGAAACGGCGTAGAGAACAAGGGGGACATGAGAGAAGAATTGCGAGAACAAGAGACGCAAGCGCGGGACGGTTCGTGCCGTGGCAAGCGTTTAGCCGTACCTCTCGCGAGCACCGCCACTTCTTGCCGTCGGTGCGGCGGCACCTGAGGGGCTCCGCGTCCTTGAGCGGCGTGGCCCACGACGCTGCACAGAGCAACGATACGCGTTTCTGTCATTCCCGTTACAAGCCCAACCGATGGCCATATCGGCCCGGAAAAGTTAAGGTGATTCAACACCGTACCAGGGCCGTCGGGTGATTGGCGAGGCGAGTCCGAGGTGGAATAGAGCGAGTCGATGAGTTCAGGAGGGACGGCGGCGCCGGAGACGAGGTACTTGAAAATGAGCGCTTGCTGCTCCAGCTGCTGCCATTGGCTGATGGTGAACGGCGCCGCGTTCTCATCTGCACGGTGAACGGTAAGCAGAGAGATATGCAAGTCAGTGATGGTCCTTATACCTACAACCACTACAACAGCAGCAACATCGAAGTTCACCACGGCGATGACGTATTACATCGTAACTAAACATTGAATATTCATTTAGAGAGAGTGGGGTCTCTTACCTGCGACCAGGCCTGGATCGACCAGGCTGGACTGGCTGTCCGGACTAATATTCTTCTGCCGCGGAGTATCCGCCGCAACTGACGGCGTCCCCACGGAGAAGCTCGGCGTGCCGGCACCAGGCTTTGACGGCGGAGGCGTGTCGCCGTTGGTCTCAACGCCTAGCGCGGCGACTGCGGGGTCTCTAGGAGGCGACATCGCCGAAGCGTCGTTAGCCCTTGGTGACGTCGCCCGAGGGGAGCTGCAATTAGCGGCGCTGTCGTCATCCATTGCGGGATTTGCAGACCTCGCCTCGGCGTCATCCTTCGCAGTGTCGCCATCCTTGTCGCTCGCAGCGCCGACATCGCCAGTGCCGTCATCCTTGTTCGCGTCGTTGCTGCCGTCAGTTGCACCTTGGCTGGCCTCAGTCGCAAGGTTGCTGACATCAGTCGCATCGTTGCTGCCGTGGCCCGCGACGTTTACGTCTTCCATCTTCACATCCTCGCTCGCTTCACCAGCCGGAACTGACGTTTCTTCCACTCGTCTCTCCACATCGTCAACCGGCCCACTTTCGACTTTGATTTCCGCTTTTTCTGCTGCTTCAATCGCCGCGTCTCCTGCGAATTTACTCGCCACGGCTGCTGTAGCTTCAATCGGTGCGTCTCCTGCAACTTTCGCCGTAAATTCTGTACCATCAGTCGCCGCGGCTCCTGCGGCTTCTATCACCGCTGACGCTTCCGCCTCATTGCACCGCTCCGTTTTCACCTCTCCCTTAGAGCCGGACGTTTCCATGTCGCCGTCTTTATGGTCAGGGACTTCATGAATATCTTGGTCGGTCGGAGCTTCATGAATCTCCTGGTCCGTCGCCGTATGTTGAGTGCCTTTGGCTTCATGAACTTCCTTCGATAAAGTCTGATCTTGGTCAATTGGCGGTGGTATCGCATCCACGTCCATCTTATCATGCTCAATTACCGTCTGATCCTGATTTACGGCCTCGTTTGACTCCATACAAGCGTCTCGATTATCGTCGGGTTGTCTGAGCTCTCCAGAATCTATTAAGGCAGTCCCATCTTGATCGTTTGCTACAGCTTCTGCAACTGCTGGATCTCTTTCAGCTGCTAGCGTAGTATCCTGACGAAGCATCGCGTCGTGGATTTCCTGCGGCTCGATTGTGTGAAACGAGGAAACTCCAGAAGCATTTGAACACATGGCTCCTGTGAGCGACACCGGATCAAGTGTTGCGTCACTCGTCGACGAGGTCATACGAGCATAATCGTTGACGTGAACCATCTGCGTTTCAACTTCGTTCATTTCAGTGCACGTAAGGATAGATGGTGATGGCTCCGCCACGGATACAATTCCACTACTCTTGTACTAAGCACGACTTCTCGCTCAAGTACGTATCTCACTATCGTATTACGAAGGCGTGCCTGAAAAATCTATGTCTGTTTGCGGTGAATCCGGCCTGTAGCCGGATTGTGAGCCCAGAAATCTGGTTGTAGAACTGAATGTGAGCCACGGAAGGCTGAAAAGTGTTTCAACGCCAGCCGTCGAGCAACGGAGGACATGGGAGGCAAAAGCAAATAAGTCATCTCGCGGGTATTCAAGCAGATCCTGTATTGCCAGAGCCCTGCCGCAGCCACAGCTGCAACAGAAATGGCAGGCATCCAGCAATGACTACTGAAATTCTATCAGGAATCTCCTCGCAGCTCTTCATCGAGTCCGTTCATCGGGCACATCTGGTCCGCTCATCGAGCTGTACGCTTGAATCTGACGGTCACGGCTTTCTGTACGCCTCTGCTAAAAGTACACATCAGGCCCCTTGGAAACAACAGTTTTTGCTTTTCCATGCCTGCTCGCTCCCATCTTGGCACGGCCATTATCTCCAATACTCAGTTTTTTCCTGAGCGCGTTCTCAGGTGTAATCAACCTGGACTTTCTCAACATTGATTATTCGTCGCGTTATTGTCACATTGTTTACACTGGTAGAAATTATTAGGAAGTGACAAAAACAGAACCATCCAGTTTACCCTCCCGACTTGGATATAAGAAAGGAAATTTAGGTAGTAAGAGAATGAAGCCCATATAATTCACTTGGTGGTGCTCAGTAGCGCAACCGACCTCTAAACAAAGCTACCGAAAGCACTAGACGACGCTACCGAGAACTATTCGGGCATGGCAGAAAAAAAAAACCCCTAGGGAACCTGGATGCATTTTCGAGAGGGGTCAACCCTAAACACGGGAATGGAAACTGTTTTTAGGTTTGATGCCTCCCGAGTCGCATCCCTTTCCGATTGGGTTTTTTTTTTGTCAAGTGGGTTGCAATATGTTTTCCAAAATATTGGGCGGCTTTCGGTATCTAGGGTTGATCCTTCCCGGAAATCATTTAGGTTCGCTACGGGTTATATATATATTTTTTTTTTCAATCGCTGCAATTTTTTTGAGTGACTGTATATAGATCTGAGCCAGAAAAGCTTCCTACTTTATCGCGAAACCATGATTCTGTTGGTGATTACACCTGAGAACGCGCCCAGGCGAAATTTGAGTATCAGAGATAATGGCCGCATTTTGGCATATGCCAAACTGCATGGACTGACATCGCACTGATCACAGGCCTGGAGATTGTCAGGATGCACTCCAGGCTGCCGGGGCGCCTGAGTTCCGAAATTGTTGCGGTTGGGTCAGGAGCGAGAAATGTCCCGCCCCATGCAGGTGCCGGGATTCGCGGAAGGTGTTGGTGTACTACCAGAGTCGATGCCAACGGTCATCTTCGGTTGTCTATAGCGAATCTCACGGTGCTAGGGAAAATCGAAACAGTGGTTCTCTTGTGTCATAGGTGATTCACAACACTTCCCGCTGCCGCGCTCTATGTACCCGCCAATCATATGTGGCCCTCGTCAGGACGGACAGCTCTCTGACACCATTTGAACCTTGACAGGGCAAACTGAAAAGCCACTCCTCCACAAAAACGGTTGACCCACTTGAGATGGGTACGTTAGGGCGCGTGTGTTCTTGCCGAACCTGACAAAGTTCGAACTCAAACCGTTTTGCACCGTGACAAATAGTTTTTATTGTATTCTACCGTGACAAACCGTTAAAAAAGTTCGAACTTTCAGTCAGGTTCGGCAAGAACACACGCGCCCTTATCCACTCGGAACCACAAATTGGTTGGGCATGCTGGAAACTCACCATTGGCTGCTAGTCACGTGCCCAGACACTCTTGGCAAGTCCTCTCTAGTAAGCCTCTGGCCACCACCATATGAACGTGGGCTAGTAGATGCGGTTAAGCTAAGTATAATAATATATGGTAAATGTAAGGAATTTTCCGGATTCCTTACTGGGTCACACTGTACGCGTACAACTCCGACTTTCGGAAAACCAGGCTCGGCCCGCCGACCTCGCCTTCCGAGCCACCACCGCGTCGCTTTCGGGTTTTCCAACCCCGAACCTACACCCAACCATCTCGCGACCCCGCGACCTCAGCCTAGCTAACCTTGCTATATTATGCCTAGGCCTCGTTGTCCATTGAGACGTTGTAATCACTTCCGCACTATTGAGTTCTGCGCACTCTTTCCTTTCACAACTTATAAGACTTGGTATCAGAGCCTAAAGTCCTAAGTTACCCTCGCGTTTCCGGGGTAGTTTGTAGAAGGGGAGCGATAGACTTGGTGGGCTGTTAAGCGATAAGCCTGTGGAATAGATCTGATTATTCCACTCCGACTACGATAGCATTAACGCCTTCACCGAAGTCAGAAAAATCGCGAGCCACCCCCTGCCCGTTCGACGAAGCCTGAGGCACATGGAGCAGGCCGAGTTAAACGAGTTCATGCAACAGTTCCGTGCGATGCAGGCCAACTTGCAGGGTATGACTGCAGAGATGGAGCGTCTACGGAAGGAAAATGCCGAACTACACCAGGCGCGTGGTGAAGCGCGCCAGGAGTCGCCTGTCGTGGACAACGCAAGTAGCAGCACTACACCAGATGAGCGGGTCTGTGTCAGAACATATAGCTTGTGCTTATTGTGTAGGCTATAGTGGGGTAGCCCATAAGGGGTACAACCCAATTAGGGTTAGTACTTGTACTCAGTTCGTTCATAGTTCATTCATTCTCGTTTCAGTTTTCTCATGGTATCGAGCAGGTTCCCTCGTGGGAACTGTTCCTAGGGCCCTACTACTGCTTCCGCTGCTACTCGATCTGTTGCACGCCCCGTGGCGTGCGACCTGCACGCGGCGATTTTCTTTCTGGCGCGCGCCCCGAGGCGCGCGGCCCCGCTACCCCATCGCGCTGCCCTAGCGACCGCGTCGCGCTGCCCTCGCGGCCCCGATCCGCCGCCCTGCTGGCCCCGTCGCCTGCCCCTGCAGCCCCAGCTCGGCCCTTCCCGGCCTCGGCGCCACCTCGGCTGGCCCCGTCGCCTACCCCGGCGACCCCGACGCTGCTCTTCCCGACCCGGCCCCGCCTCTGCTGGCCCCGTCGCCTACCCCTGCGGCCCCGACGCTGCCCTTCCCGGCCCCGGCGCCACCTCTGCTGGCCCCGACGCCGCCCTTCCCTGCCCCGACGCCGCCCTTCCCGGCCCCGTCGCATACCTCCCCGGCCCCGGCGCCGCCCTTCCCGGCCCCGGCGCCGCCTCTGCTGGCACGGTCGCCTACCCTGCGGCCCCAGTTGGCCCCGTCGCCGCTCCACCCGGCCCCGCCGCCGTCCCCAAGCGGCCCCGCCGTCACCACCGAGCCGCCGGCGCCGCCGAGCTAGTGCCGAGCCACCCGCAGCGCCACCTCAGCCGCCCGAGCCGCCGGGTCGCCGAGACGCCGAGCTGCAAATGCTGCCGAGCCGCACTACCGCTGAGCCGCCCGAGCCGCCGAGCCGCCCGAGTCGCCCGAGCCGCCGAGCCGCCCGAGTCGCCCGAGCCGCCGAGCCGCAGTTACTACAGTGCCGCCGTGCCGCCGAGCCGCTCGAGCCACCCGCACCGCCGAGTCGCCGAGTCGCCGAGTCATGGAGCCTGCTCTTCCCACCACAGATGAGCCTCTGCCTTACTAGCGCGCTGCCTGCCGCTTGCTTGGCTGCCTGCCTTACTGCTGCTACTCCTGCTCCTGCTTCTACTGGCGGAGCCAGATGCAGCCCCAGCGACGTCCGCGTGGGTCCCTCACGCCCCAGCAGCTGCGTGAGTGGTACGCTGGTTGGGGTTGTAGGGGTGGTGGCGCTACTACTGCTACTACCACTGGCGGTGGCCAGATGCAGCTCCAGCGACCACCACGAGCGTCTCTCACGCCCCAGCAGCTTCGTGAGTGGTACGCTCAGATTAGAGGGTCTCTCAGTTCTGTTCCCTGCTCTTACGTGATTCGCACTGGTGCTCGGACTGGTCAGCCTTGTGGGACGCCTAGTCACACACCGTCCCGCTGCTTCGCCCGTCTGAGCGACGCCTGGCGTACCGAGTTTGGCGACGAGGCTGAGCTCCCCGACTGGGTGGAGTTGCTTAGGGAGAGGGTAGATATATTTGCTCTTGACTATGATGCTATTCTCACTGCCATGTATGCATTGTCTACTAGTGCTGACCGTGCCGGTCACCTGTGCGTACCGCCTGACCCGGGTATAGAGCCTGCTGCTCTAGCTGCTGGTGAGGCTGCTGCTCTGGGTGCTAGTGTGTCTCCTGCTCCAGGTACAGGTGCGGCTGCTGCTCTAGGTGCTACTGAGTCTGCTTCCTCAGGTACGGGTGAGTCTGCTCTCTCAGGTACCGCGTCGGCTCCGGCCTCTCACACCTTTACCCTTGACTCGGGGGCTTCCCGCTCCTTCTTTCGAGAC